ACTCGAAATCTCTGGGAATCGGCGGGTTTGGAGGATGTATTGGGCGCCGCGGCCGCTCCAGAGCGTTCCGGAACGCTCCGAGAGCGCTCTGGAACGCTCTGGAGCGATCTATCCCGATCCTAGCCTTGTTTGATTTCTGAGGGGGAGGGTGGGGTTCACTTCGCTCGGGAGCTCACGAGCGAAGTGAGCCCCACCCTCCCCCTCAGAAATCGTGGGGGGTAGGGGCAGGCTTCGCACGTGGCCCCCATATGAGCAGCACCTCCCGCCTGCTGGAGAGGCCGGCCCCCTCGGGACGCAGCTGTCGCGCCACCATGCGGGGCGCTGACCTAGAAGCGAAGGGCATGCGCAGGTTTAGCGGAACGAAGAATGGCATAATCACAACAACTCCGAGGTCCGCGCGGATTTCTCGGATCCGCGCTGGACCCCCCTGGCGGCGCCTCTGGCGCCGCCCCTGGCGCGCTCCGCGCGCCAGGGAGGGGGGTCCCGCGTGGAACCGAGAAATCCGCAAGGACCTCCGAGTTTTTATGCTTATGTCATTCTTCGTTCCCCTAAGGTTCCTCGACCTCGGTCCAGGGATCGGCCCGAAAGGAGCCCCTGAGCCAGAGTGGTCCGTATTTCAGCGTCTCGGCTGTGCCCTGTCGCTGCCCATGGTCGGGGGTGCAAAGCCCCTGGACCTCTCCTGGCGTGCGTGATGGCCAGGATTTCGAGGCGGATGCAGCCGTGGCCACGAGGGAGCCTGGGACAATCAAAAACCTCCAGAGACCCTCGATCCTTCTTCGGGGAGACGTAAGACTCGGGTTCGGGGGAATCGGGTTAGCCCGACGGAGCCATCATGAAAATGACGATGCCAAGCCTGAAAGTTGACGAGAGCTCGCGCTGCAGACATCCCGCAAAAAAAACTGCTCCGTCAAAAACCGGAACGCGCTCGCCACAGAGCGCAAGCAGACCCGAGCCTCTCCGTACCCGAGTCGTACGTTTCCACAGCTCGTGACTTGAGGGGCAACGATAGGGAGGGACTGGCTTAAGGGGGGATCCATCGACCTGGCATCGGCGATACATCGCCGATAGATCGGCGATGGGCCTCCGATGGTGAATCCGCACCTTCCTGGGCAGGTTGGGGCCATCGGGCCCCTATTGGCGATCAATGGGCGATTGGGTGTTGATGCATCCTTCCCTATGCGTATCCCCCCATCGTTGCCCCTGATTCGGGGAGACGTAAGACTCGGGTAGATCGGCGATGGGCCTCCGATGGTGAATCCGCACCTTCCTGGGCAGGTTGGGGCCATCGGGCCCCTATTGGCGATCAATGGGCGATTGGGTGTTGATGCATCCTTCCCTATGCGTATCCCCCCATCGTTGCCCCTGATTCGGGGAGACGTAAGACTCGGGTACGGGAGACTCGGGTTGGCGTGACGGGGCCGTCATGAAAATGACGAGGCGCAATCTGAAATTTCACGCGACCTCCCGCTGCAGATGTCCCACGAAACCCGGACCGTCAACCTCCAGGACGCGCGGCCCGAATGGACACAGGCCGCGGCGGCGTGGACAGCGAGTCCTGCCCAAAAATGCACAAGAACTGCTGTTGGGCATTGTACCCATTCTTTCCGTACCCATCTCGTTCGTGCCGCCCCCTCTGGGGAACTCCAGAGGTACCGATACCGCTGCTCTCCGGACCTCTCCTGGGGTGCGCTCTGCCCAGAATTGCGAGGCGAATCCGGCGGCAGCGACGAGGGCCTCCCCGGAGGCCCAAGAAGGGGAAAACGAGGGAAGGGTAGCGGTATGGTTAGGTCGGGCCTGTCCCCCTACAGGGGGATTCTGGGCGAAAACTAAAACATACCCCCAACAATGCCCCCAGATGGTCCAGAAAGAATCCAAAAAATCGTCCCCAGCCTATTCGTTGGTTGACTATCTTGGCATATCCCCCCTCTGTAGAGGGACGCGAGCCCGACTTAACGGTATGGACACCTCTTCCTCTCGGCGGCGACGATACGGGCGAATAGCCCAGGGGCGGGCATTACACGCATTCGCCCGGGAGCCTCGTCGAAGACCTACATCATCGGCGCCCCTGGATACCTGGATTGCTCCCCCCTGGGCTACTCGCCCCTGCCTCGGCGAGCTTCTGACCCGGGTCAATCCAGACCCGGGTCAGCAGGAAACTAAAAACTGCAATGCAGGAAACAGAAAACTGCAACGCAGGTCTTCGCAAACGCGGGTCAGCCAGCAGGCGCGGCCGCCTCGCGGCCACGAGCGGCTCGCTGACCCGGGTCAGCCAGGGGGGGTCTTCGCGGGATCCTGCCGGATCTGGTGCCCTGGCTGACCCCCGTTTGCCTTGACCCCGTCCCGAGGCTCCCGACTGCCGCCGCCTCCGATCCTCCTCCGGCCTTCGTGAAAACAGCCTGGGACCGAAACCGACGGACCTGGACCCGCAAAAACAACAGCCGCGACGCCCTCTCGCGACCCGCAAACGGCCAGCTCACGAATCGACGTGTCAGGGCAGGAGGCCTGTCCACCCCCGATCCCCCCTGTCGGGAGACTCTCCATGGGGGGGGATCCCATGGGGGGGCAGGAGGGGATCCCCCCCATGGGATCCCCTCCGGCCCCCCCCATGGGATCCCCAGGGGATCCTATGGGATCCCCCCCCTGGGATCCTATCCCCCCATGGGATCCCCCCCCCATGAAGAGTCTCCCGACCCTGGGCCACTCGCCCCTGCCGCCGCCTCCGCTCCTCCCCCGGCCCCCGCGCGCGACGCCGAGCCGGAGGCCGCCCCCCGCAAAGGCTTTCGTGAAAGGCTTGACGACTTCTGCCGCCCTTCGACTCGCGCGGGAGCGGCCGCGAGCTGCTTCACCTTCCCTCGGAGATCCTTGGATTTACCCGGATGTGTTTCGATTTGCCTGGATTTATCTGGATTTACCTCGATTTATCTGCATTTACACAATTTACCTCGATCTGCCTGGATTTATCTCGATTTACCTCGATTTATCTGGATTTACCTCGATTTATCTGGATTTATCTGGATTTATCTGGATTTACCTGGACTCTTCTGGCTCGCTCCCCACGAGTCGATCGGCGAAAAGTCGGCAAGCCCTTAGGGCAAAGGGGCCCCCGAGGGCAAACGGTCGCCTCGGGGGCCCGCGCGCGCGCGCGGGCCGCCCGCCCGCCGAGGCCGCCCGCTCTCCCCCCCGGCCGTCGCGGGCGGCGCAGAGGTCGGGTCGGCCCCGTCCCCCCTGCAGGGGGAGCTTCGTCCTCCTCCTCCTCCTCCTCCTCCTCCTCCTCCTCCTCCTCCTCCTCCTTCCTCCTCCTCCTCCTCCTCCTCCTCCTCCTCCTCCTCCTCCCTCCTCCTCTCTCCTCTCATCCTCCTCATCCTCCTCCTCCTCCCTTCCCCTCCTCCTCCTCCTCCCTCCCCCGCCTCCTCCTCCTCCTCCTCCACCTCCTCCTCCCTCCTCCTCCTCCTCCTCCTCCTCCTCCTCCTCCTCCCTCCTCCTCCTCGTCAACAGATGTCGATCCTCCTCGACCCTCTGCAGGGGGAGCTTCCGAAGAAAACTCGAAAATACTCCAAAAAAGCTCCAAGGAGGCCCGAAAAGACTCGAAAAATTGTCCCCCCTGCAGGGGGAGCTTGGAAGAGAAATCGAGGCTACTCGAAACATGCTCACAGAAGAGGCCCAAAAAGACTCCAAAAAATGGAGATCGAAAATACTCGAAACATGCTCACAGAAGAGGCCCAAAAAGACTCCAAAAAATGGAGATCGAGAATACTCGAAACATGCTCACAGAAGAGGCCCAAAAAGACTCCAAAAAATGGAGATCGAGAATACTCGGAACATGCTCACAGAAGAGGCCCAAAAAGACTCCAAAAATGAAGATCGAAAATACTCGAAAAATGCCCACAGAAGATGCCCAAAAAGACTCCAAAAATGGTGCCCCGACTATATTTCGACTGCTTTATTTAGAAGATTCCCCCTGTAGAGGGACAGGCCCGACTTAACACAAAGGGGCGGCCCCCCCGCCGGGGGGGGGGGCGGGCTCAGCTCGCCCCGGCGTCCGGGGGCGCGCCGAAGGGCAAGGGCACCTGTCTCGAGCAGGAGGGGACGCACGGAGACATACTCGTACTGAGCATTTTCTTAGGGTGGAGGGCTCAGGGTGAACTCCATGAGGGCTTTGGCACCTCGGAAACTAAATCCGTCTTGTGATTCACCTTTTGCAAATTCAAACCTCGACAATCAGTCGAAACGGCACTTCAAATTTCACCCTCTGCCCTCCACCCAACGAAAATGCTCGGTAGTAGGGAATCTAACTCTGTACACCGACGCGTTTTCCAGCCCTGCACTGGCATTTGCACTGGAGAGCGGATCCTGGTGTATATACGGGACCCGGACGTACACATGTCTCGTCGTTTCCCCAGGACATCGGAGAAAGAAGTCTGCACCACACCACCCCGAAAAAGGGCAGGGGCACCTGTCTCGAGCAGGAGATCGACCACCGAGAGCCCCTCGAGTCACGAAAAACTCGCGGCGGGGATGGAGGAGGGAGGAGGAGGAGGAGGAGGAGGAGGAGGAGGAGGAGGAGGAGGAGGAGGAGAGGGGGAGGAGGGAAGGAGGAGGATGGAGGAAGTGGAGAGGAGGAGATGGAGGAGGAGGAGGAAGGAGGGATGTAGATAGGAGAGCACAGAGGAGTGAGGGAGCAAGGGGGGAATAAGGAGGAGGGGGGGGGGGAGGAATGATGAGGAGGAGAGGAGGAGGAGAGGATGAGGAGGGAGGGAGTAGGAGAGAGGAGGAGGAGGAGGAAGGATGGGGATGAGGGGAGGAGGAGGAGGAGGGAGGAAGGAGGGGAGGAGGAGGAGGAAATGAGGAGGAGGAGTATGAGGGAGGGAGGAGGTGAGGAGGAGGGAAGGAGGAGGAGAGGGAGGATGGAGGAGGAGGATGAGGAGGGAGAGAGGAGGAGGAGATGGATGGAGGAGGGAGGAGGGAGGAGAATGAGGAGGGTGGGAAGCACCCATTCTCGACCTCCCGGGGACCCCCCCGCCGGGTGCGCGCTCCGCTCGCCCCTGGTCGACCTGGGGTGCGTGCGGCAGCGCGGCAGGGCAGGGGCACCCGTTCTCGGTAGGATGCGATTGCACGGAGACACACAGTGCTGTCTGTACTCCTTGGGAGCGCTCCTCCTCCTCCTCCTCCTCTCACCCCCCCACCCCCCCCCCCTCCTCCTCCTCCTCCTCCCTCCCCTCCCCTCCTCCTCCTCCTCCTCCTCCTCCTCCTCCTCCTCCTCCTCCTCCTCCTCCTCCTCCTCCTCCCTCCCCCACCTTGCTCCCATCCTCTTGCTCCTCCTCTAACCTCCTCCTCCTCCTCCTCCGCCATCCTCCGCCTCCTCCTCCTCCTCCTCCTCCTCCACCACCTCCTCCGTCCTCCCTCCTCCTCCTCCTCCTCCTCCCTCCTCCTCCTCCACCTCTCCCCCTCCTCCCTTCCTCTCACCCCTCCTCCTCCTCCTCCTCCTCCTCCCCTCCTCCCTCCTCCTCCCTCCTCCTCCTCCAAAGCAACCACAGCCGCGTCGCCAGAGCAAGGACCAGCTCAGGGCGCTTAGAGGGGCCAATCGAGGGAACTGTCGGACACATGGTATGCCCATCTTGTAGCGTATCCTTTCCCGAGCGGTGTGGCCAGAAAGCGCCCGCCGCGACACGTGTACTGTACGATTTCTCGGTGCGCGCGTCGCCCCTGGGGGGGGCGACGCGCATGTAGTATGAAGTATGTTGGGGTGACGTCGATAAGAGATCGACCACCCAGATCCCCTCGAGTCATGAAAAACTCACGACGGGAGGTGCTTCCCTATGCGTTCGGCCCCCAGGGGCCCTCACCGGGCCCCGGGACCGACACAAGGCACTCGGGGCGCAAAACTGATCCCGGGGAGTGGGTTGGGACATCTGGCGGTCGACGTCGTGGAAAAATCATGACGTCGGGGTCTGGGTGTGGAAGAACCTGGGACAGAGGAGCATCCTGCAAGAGCAAGATAAAGAACCGAACTTATACACCGATGCATGTTTCCAGCCCCGCACTGCAATTCGCACAAGAAAACGGATTATGGTGTATACGGCATCCGAGTGTATACATATGTTGTTGCTTCCACGGGAAAACGGGGAAACAAGTATACACCACACCACCCCGACGTCATCCCCGACCCGCAAGAAAGTCCTGGGATTGAGCAACAGCCCGCCACTGGTAATGTATATGTTCCAGTTTCCGACAAGAGACCCTCTGCGGGCCCGAACTCATAGAACGTCCAAGGGGAATGGCCCTATCTGGGGTGCACAAGGACGTCCGACGGACAGGAAGAACACGAGGGCGCCCTCCCCGAACTGACCTCGATCGTATACCTCCGTACAGAACCGACGTGCCCCAAAACTGAAATGTTCGCAGAATCTACGGAAAAAAAACGCCTCTTCCTCCTCCTCCTCCTCCTCCCTCCACCTCCTCACTCCTCCCCTCCCTCTCCTCCTCCCCCTTCCTCCTCCTCCTCTCCCTCCTCCTCCTCCTCCTCATCCTCCTCCACCTCCCCCCCCCTCCACCACCTCCTCCTCCACCTCCTCCTCTCCTCCACCTCCTACCTCCTCCTCCTCCTACGTCAAACCCCCCCTTGCTCCCTCCTCTTGCTCCTTCCTCCTACCTCATACCTCCTCCCTTCCTCTCTTCTTTCTTTCTTCTTTCTTATGCTTCTCCTCCTCCTCCTCCTCCTCCTCCTCCTCCTCCTGCTCCTCCTCCTCCTCCTGCTCCTCCTCACCCTCGTTTTCATCTTCGTCGTCTTCAGGGTCGGCGGCACCGGCCGTAAGGCCTTCGTAATCTACAAAAGAAGACGCAGCATGCCCCGTAGTTCTACGAAGATCAATTGCGTGTTTGGTGGATTCGGCAGGAAACCCAGATTTGGGGTACATCGATTATGTGATTAGCAGATCCCCTACTCAACGATCAGGTGTTGCCAGGAGCGGTCCTGGCCCAGGGTGTCCCCAGATCTTCGCGCCGTTTGGGAGCCTCTAGGCCCTCTGGGCCTCGAAAGTGGTGGGTGTCCCGCCGTGGTATCGGTAGTGAAGCCGATAGTGAGATCGATAGTGGGATGGATAGTGAGATCAAAAGTGAGATCGGCAGTGAGGTTGATTGTAACATTGGCTGTGAGATCGATGGTGAGGTCGATTGTGATATCGATATAGGAACTAATCGTGAGATCGCCAGTAGCTTCGCTAGAGGAATCGATCGCTGAATCCATTGGTATTAAGACTGGCCGCGAAATCGATAGTGGGATCGATCGAGTGAGATCGAAAGAGGCGACAATAGTGATATTCCGTCGCAACGCGACGTCGTCATCACGCGTCGTCGCTGACTCAAGGGCGCATCACCAGCATCGTCATCATCACACCCATCGCATTTGCCAGCATTTGGTTCCTTCCCCCCACCCCACCCCCCAACCTCCTTAGCACCAAAAGGCTGATCGTATACACATGGTGTTGGGTTCTTTTTAAGACT